AAAGCGTCCTTGCTCTACACTTTTAGGGCGCCAATTAAATGACATCACTCGACAGCCCCTATTGCAGAGGCAGTTGCCAGGTCGTTGGCGAGGGAAAAGATGAAGAGATGGAGGAGGTTGCTTCTCTTACGATTCGTGAGACCAACTCCACCCTCCAGTCTGAGCGTAAGCTTCCGCAACCGGAGTCAGTAGCTATTCGGCTGTCCGAGAGACATGTGTGATATTTCTGCGACCATCCTCAGAGCGAAATGCTTACATCTCGCCCTGAGGAAGATCGCAGTCTGGCGGGCGGAACGTTGGCGCCTGTGGCTAGAACGCGGTGTTTTCCGGACGGTCTCTCCCCTCCAGTTTTTTCCACTTGGCGCTCTTTGTGCAGTATCGCACGGCATCGCATCAATAAAAGGCAATCGGTACGCACAGCCCTCGCGCAGGCGCAGAGCAGCCCTGAGGGCTTCTCCCACGCGCGAAGGGCTGCGCGGCGCTGCGCCCTCGTTCCCACGATTGTTCTTCCGAGAGGCGCCTTCGCCACGCGCGCGACTGCGTTTCCTGGGCGCCCGGTCTGCTTACATAGTTTGAGTTGTGCGGTTTGAGAAATATTTTTTTTTCCGCTCCATGGTACAGCCTTCTTCGCTGATGCTACGTGAGTTACTGAAGGAGATCGCGACGCAGCCGAAAGTGCTCTGTGCCGAAAAATAAATTGCAGATCAATCCTCGTGCAAAAGCGTAATATCTCATTCTAATATACTATGTCACTTCTTGATGTGGAAATAACGTGAAATAAGATTTCTGATACTTGTAATTGCTACTTCCTGCATTTAGCTGTTGATCTCGTGAACATTGCCTCTGCGCTGTAGACAAATAAATTGGACATTATTTACCATTTCGGTATCTATTCCTTCTTATGGCCTATCTGAATGGATTAGGGATATAATTAAATGATTGTTATGAATGATTATTTTACGTTTTCTCAATCAGGGGAAAAGGGAGGAACCTGATATCATTCGCAAATCCATTTTGTCTACAGCACATTCTTCTGGGATCGACGGGGATTAAAATTTCGGTTCGCAGAGGCAGAAAAACTCCTGTACTAAGGATCGCCCAACATTTGAAGGGTGTAATACATAATCCACAGGGAAAAACTTTCGAGGTAGAAGCCAATAAACATTTTAGCGTAAGGGGATTAAACGGCATACATGTGAAATACAGTGACAACAAACACGAGCCATTCATTGAATTATTGCACGGACATCAGATGGCAGGAGCCAAAAACTTCAGTTTTGAGAGTAATCATCTCCTGCATCGGCTCGGTGGCCGGAGACGATCTCGCGTTCCCTCTGTTTGAAGGGGTGGAAGGGGCGGAGGGGGGCGTCGTCCGAGCGGCACGCAACGCACGGCCGGCGGCCAACATGGCGACCGCCCGCCCCTCCGCTCGCGCCCCGCAGCTCGGCCACGCGAGGAGAACCTCAGGCGGGAAGCGAACGATCGGAAGAGGCCAAGGAGAGCTGGGGCGGAGGGGGGAGGAAATCTCGGCACTGCGAGGAGTTGAGGGAAATGCCGGCATCGAATAGGGAACTCGGCGATGGAAGCGGTTAGGAGAAATTAGGGGGTCGAAACGAGACAAGGCGAAATGGACCTTCCGTTGTTGGGGGCTTGGATGTTGAGACTTCAGAGTTGCGAAGTAATGCAGAGTCACCTTCAAGTTTCGTCCGTGGTATAGAAGGCAAATCGCCCCCTAAGCGTTCACTCCATATGACATCGATACCTGACCTCGAACATTCTTGCATACTTATCATTAAATGGAAAACGTGGAAGATTTGTATCTCTGACCCAAATATCTCTGTGAAATGAAAAATGCTAATAAGTACTTTCTGGTCGTCATATGCGAGTCTCAGTTCTCCCACAGAGTTCGTTTTTAAGATATTCGAATTATGAGTATAATAGAAGCTTGGGTAAACTCACTGATATTATCTCACCGGAGATGTTGGTATTATCGTAAATCTTAAAAATGGATATGACTATCTGACTCAGCACTCGTGGACAAGCGGAGTTAATATGTAGAGGTAATATCGTGGGATTGTATTAGCTCCCTAGTTTCCAACCCAGAAAACATTTCCACTTTAGTTTTTTGTGAAACTTTGCGTTGGAGGAGATGACGTAAGAGTTGAAGGTTCCATTGTTCGTTATAGTTTATTCGTTAACCTTTACAGTGACAATGTCATCCCATTATAATTCCATCTATGTTTTTGATGCCTTCAGCACAATGGCATGCTTATTTGAGCAGCGACCTTGGAACGCGTCTCAAAACTGGGATTTTTTGCTCCCTTTGTTCTTTGGCGCTCGCGGTGCCCGCTCACGCGCCTCTTCGTTGAGCGCCGTTGCGTCGGTGCTGCTTTGTAGGAGGGATGGGCGGGTATTGAATAATAATTAATATATAATCGATTGTTGTTGTTTTTTTTTGTTAAATTAATATGCATCGATTCATCTTTTCTTATTAATCGATTAGTCTTATGTAATCGATTACTTTTTCACGTGTTTTAAAATATTGCGTAAAATCGTTAATTTTTAATTTCCGATTTAACTTGCTCACTTTTTCAACACGTTTTCTATGAATATCGGTGTTAATTATTTTGAAATTTTTAGAAGCACGGCGCGATTTAATTATTGTTTGTTTATTCTTTATTAAAATAATATTCATTCCACGTACGTACTCGTGAGACAAATAACTGTTAGTCGATTTAAAATAAAAATGGTCGAAGAATTTCTAGAAACAAAACATCAATAATTGTACTCTATCGATATAGGTGCTTGGTTGATGACGATTATAGAACAACTGCTAATTCTATGTTTCTTATTTCTTACTGACTATAATACCGTCACTAAAATATACATAGAATATGCATAGTGACTTTTCTAAACTAATAAATAAACTAATAAAATAGTTTTACTAACATGAAATTAATCGCGTATGTTTCTCTCTAGTATGTTTTGCTTTTGATGAGAGAGAAACAGACGAGGAATTCAGTTGCTTAAGTTCAAAAGTATAGATGCACTTCCATACTTTGCTCGTCTTGAAAATTAATGTCTGAATTCAAATAATGGAGCTATCAGGCGGAAAAATTAATCGGTGTAAAAATAAGATTTCAATTTTTCGATTAATCGTATAAAACACTAGGTGGTACCAATCCCTAGTGCCCACCCGTGCACCGTTTCGTTGAGCCTGACTCCGCCGTCTCGTCGGCGCCGCTTTGTTGACGGCGCGCGAGGCCCTCGCGGTGCAGGCGGCGATGTAACGTGGTGTCCTTACGCCGCTTGCGAGTGGGCGGGCCGCGTGAGTCAGCGCGAGATTGTGTTACTGTTACAATAGCCTTAAGCTGACCTCGGCCCACGCAGCGGCCGCTTCTGGCGGTGGTGTGCCCACCCCCCTTCACCCCCCCCCCCCCCGCCCCCATTCGGGACCGTCGAGCCCGGCGGCAGGGCCACCGAGTCTGAGAAACCTCGCTTCGCTTCTCCCATGCATTAAGCGTTTCGAGAACCGATTTAGCCGACCAGATGATGGACTGGGTTGCGACGTACCTCCCTGCTAAATGTCAGTGACTTTTATTGCACTTCAATCAGTCCAGTGTTGCTAGTTTCCAATGGATGATTACATGTTTCCTTTTTTGATTCGCACTTTAGACATCATATTATCTCTTTCCACCTCCCAACAAGTTCTTCCTTATGTTTTTGTTGTTAATTTGTTTATTTGATCGTCAAAATACAGTAAGAGTTGTATGCTGCGCTGTTGGCGACGGATCCTCTTGCAATTTCTTAGAGTCGTTTTCGATTTGATACACTACTAGTGATACGTCCCATTCAATAAACCAAGACGTTTGTTTAATGATTATACATAATACCTTTTCTTTGCGTTTTGTCTAGAGGAATTTCGAGACGGGTTCAGCGGACATTAAATTTATGACCTGTCAAATGTAGACCCAAACCATATAGTATTCTATTAAAAACTGTGATACTTGTTTATCCCACTGTAGGGGAAGAGTAATGTTCCTTAAGGTATTGCCCTAGACTTATGAAATTGGAAAATTTCTAAATTGTGGCACAGAACATTATTTAGCTTCTCTTCCTTTTGCGTATATATTGATTATTATTATTGAATTATTATTATTATTACGATTATTATTATTTAAAATTATTATTGCTACAATAGTGCTTAAGTTCTCCCGGCCGAAAAAACATGGTTATTCTTTCTAAGAAGAATCGTCTCAGGTTTCTACAGCTGTACGGAAAAGAAAATAATAACCAGTCGGGCAGGCAAATTACGCTGACACAGTGATAGAAAACTTAAGCCCCCAACTTGTGCTCCCTTCCTCTCTCCCCCTCCACCCAGCCGATTGGCATCAATAATTTAGCGAAGAAGGTCCCAGGCCGCTTAGCTTCGCAAAAGACGGAATCACCAAAAGTACTATGGGTTTGTTCTAGTTTGATTTAGGCGTTAATTAAATGACAAGAAAACTGAATTGGTACGTGCTTTCTTGCCGATTCGATCCGCGAAACGAATACAAAGCTGCAAGTATACAATCATCTCATAGCGCTTCCGAGTTCGTCACATGCTTAGACCCATGTTTCAACAGAACTTTATTGAGACTTCTTCAACAGCGCCTTAATTTAAGAAAGACGAAAAGAACCATTAATAGCTTTCAGGTGAACACTTGCCTGAACTAGCTCTTTTAGTGCACTTTGGCGGCGCGGCGGCGGGCGGTATCCCGCGTCCCGATTACAGACTCTTCGGAATTCGGCTCTTTGCGCAAACGGCCCGCGGCGCCAGACCCCGGATGCATACGCGCTCTCAGCGCATGCGATGAGATGGTTGCCGTCACGGCTAACCGGCCGCGCCGGATTCGTTCGTGCAGGCCTCGCGCTTGCGAAAAAGTGGCTTCGCGCCTCGGAACCGACCCTCCCCCCCTACCGCCCCGTCCCCCCTTTCCCCCCTCCCCCGCCGCCACGGTTTAATGGACGAGGCGTGGTTGCAGCATTTCCAGCTTTTTATGCCTTCGCACCTCCAGGCGCTTCTCCCAGGAAGATTTGCGCGGCCCGCACTTTTGACACCATGGTTCTGGAAATGAATTCTGCGTGTGGAGTTTCAAGAGATTACCAGTTTCGGAAACTGCGTGCTGACATTTAAGGATTTATTAATATCTAAATAATAATAGTAATACTCTAATTCGTGAAAATGTAGAAAATCTTTAATGATTATACCTGCTGATTTAAAAAAAAATTAACTACGATAAAAATTGATCTTTCTGTACACTAATTTTTCTTCTGTTTACACTCACATTTTTAAGCCGCATTGACCTTCCAAAAACTACCCGTAGTATGACGTTCTTCTGTTTATACCTTGTGCGCTTTTAAGAAAACAACTTGGGTAAACGAAAATGCTAAACATTCAATTTGAATTGAAGGATTTAGGAAACAAATACTCTTTATGAAAATTCTAGATGAATCAATAAATTGATATTTTAACCAGAGTATTTAAAATTGTAAAAATAAGGCCTATTTGTACCGTAAATTAATTGTGTTATTTCATATTTGTTCCATGTTAATTAATAATGATTTACGTTATAATAATTAACATCTGTTATATATTTAATATAAAATTACTTCAATTTTTTTCTTGTGAATACAATGAAATATAATTCTCATCCCAATCAAAAATTTAACTTCCTTGAAAATAAATTCGTGTAAAGATATATACTATGCACTTCGTATGTTGGTAGCAATACACCTATTTTTTTCTCACTTTCGAAGGCGATGGTATTCTTCAAGTACTACTTTAATTATATTCTTTGAAGTAAATTTGTCGTCATTTCTGTTTCACGAGTTGTTTTTGTTCTAAATGCAGATGTCTTAACCATGTGCTATTTCGTGTGTCTTCACGTAGGCCCGCATTGTCTTGTTATTCTGTGATGATTTCGAAACACACGATGGCTTCCCGGCCGAATGTTGCCGATTTAATGGTGGTGTTGGGGTGAAGGAGGTGTTTTTTTTCCCGTGGTGATGCCATCACTTTCTCCGTTACCAAACGAAGTGTCGTCCGCCGGCTGTATCCTTATTAGTGGGTTGCGACGTACGAATACAACGAACGCATCTTGGGTTACGTGGGCCCCAACCGGGTTGCACCGTTCGCCTCGTGTCGGCTGCGGGTTATTCTGCAAAAGGAAGTGGAAAGCAAAATTCGAGTCAGAAAACGTCAAATAGATCATGTACGAAACTCTTTAAGGTGTGTGTGAGTGAGAAGAGAGGGCTAGCATTATGCAAATTTTAATTACATTTTCTTGATAGCTGTTTAATTGTCGAAACGTGTTGGAAAATATTTCTGGAATGATAAAAATGGTGATTTACGATATTCAAGGATTAGACTCTGAAATTGCAGGTCGATATTCTTGTAAATCGAATCGTCAGCAGTTTGTGCGATATTATATCATAGAGCTTACCTATTTTCGTATACACCCCGACTCTTATTCAATTTATCTATTTCACACGTTGTTTGATATTCTGACTTTCCTAGTCAATGGGGATAATTCGGTTGTCAAAGTGTGGCTAGAACAAAGTGACCTGGTGACTTTGACTTCACAGTTGGTCAGTGACCTCAGGCGATTCACTTGCAAATCCGTGGGCATCGCCGAAGAGCGTTTGGCGCCCCGCGTGGATGGGGCCGCATCTCCCACGCCTTGCGCACTGGTCGGAGCAATTGGGTCGCGCGCCGCCCGGTTGACTGCAAACGCACGCCGGGCGTATGGTCTGCGTGGGCAGCGCCAGGGCGAACCTGCGTTGGCCTCCAAATGCGCGCCTGTTGGCATACACCGGCACGGCGTTGAGGAAACATCTGATGCGAGGATCGGGAAGAAAAGCAACTGCGGACGAAAATATAAAGTGAGATAAATGAAGATCAGTAACGGAGACGTTCGTGTACGAGTCAACAATATCCTAGCTATTAATTGTGGTATTGCAAAAGGCATACTATTGAACGTTTTGCTCCAGTTTCAGACATTACGCTGTTTAGCATTCAGTTTGAAAGCCTTTCGCGGTCCCTTGACTAAGCTGTCAAATCTTGAAAACGAATAATATATTGTTGACGCAAGGCATGATCGTTCTTGGAGCCGAAACCCTCGTCCCCGTCGCGGGATTCGCGAGTCGCTGCAACGCGTTTCGCGCGGGATGAACGGGTCAGGCGCAAGGCCCGCCCAAAAGAGAGCTCGCGAAGGAATCGGACGTCGCATTTGCGTCAACAGCTGTCGGTGGGTGTCACAACAAAAGAAAGCGGGTATCGCGCCGTGGACTTTCCTCACGGGCGCTGCGGCCCGCGTGGCGCGGCATGGCGTGGCCTGGCGTGGCGTGGGCGGAGAAAGTGGCTCGACCAACGGCGCCCTCTCCGCGGGTCGATAGCGTTATCACGGCGCACGACGGCGCGGCGGCCGGTCGCGACCCCGGGCGAACGGCGTAGGACGTTCCCGTTCCACACACGCGATTCCGGAATGGAGTTTTCTTTCCGTTTCGGACGCGGTGGAAGTTATCAAACCGCTCGCCTTCAACCTCTGGGAACCGGAGTTCAAATCCCGTTCTGTCCTTGTGGAGTTTGTGGGGTGCAAAGCGGGTTCTTGGCAGGTTTTCTGGAGGTTGTCCCGTTTCCCGTGGCTCTCACTCCACCGTAGCTACATCATAATTTTTTATCGTGTCATTGTCGTCAATCCATCAAAATATCTAATCCACATCAGGTTATGGGTATATGACTGGAATCGCAATAAAGATATCCATAGAATTAATGTGGGATTCCTTTGCATTTGATTCCTGATGGAAAATGTACCTTTAGGCCGGAATCGAATTGAACGATTATTTTTAATGAAGTGTTTTTCAATTGTTTGCAATTATATACGGATTGATTAGGGAAAGTGTGTTTATGCAGGTTTTACTCACTTTAGGTTATGAGTTACTTTTATTCTAATGTAATAGATTATTCGAATAAAATAATGGAATAGAAGAGCTATTTTGAAAGTGGGCATGTTATAAGTAACCATATATCATGAAGGTAGTACTTAGGTACTCGTGGGATTCTTACCAAAAATAATTTCTTCCTATTAGATTCCTCAATCGATGAATTGGACACATTTTGGTTTTTTTAACGTCGCGATGTTGCTTCGATTTGGATTTTGGGTCCATTATTACCTTTCAAATTCTGTTTATTGTCATTTTGCAAAAGTAAGTACTTATACAATAACGATTCTTGTAGACATCGATTGTGTTCCAATTTGGTTTTATTTATTGTCTGTGATGAAAACTGAAATTCTTCTTTCCTTGCTACTCTCTGCCGAAGAAGCATGTGCGTGCCACCTGGGCGCCGCGGGCGCCGGAGCGCTGATCGCCGCTTTCCGCCTGGACGCGTGCGCGAATCGGGGGCTCATCTCATCAGCCTCATCGCTCCATCCGAGGAGAAGAACGGCGTTGCTAGCGCTGACTAGCCGACGGTATCAAGTTAGCAGATGAATCCGCGTATTTCTCTCGCCTCTCTTCGGCGTTGAGGTAGGCCAAGGCCAGAGATGTTTGGAGACTTCTGCGGCAATCCTGCTCGATGATGCAGGGTTTCGCTTCGTCCATGTTTCTTCTTTGTTTATTCGGTCTCGTGAAGTTGGAAAAGGTGTTGAATTGAGGCTGTGATATTCGTAGAAGGCAGAAAACGAGCGCCCGGGAGGCACTAATCAATGTATGGAAAAAATGTGTTCAGAAAACAATACAGAATGAGGAACGACACTTAATGGCATCGTAAATATTCAGATTTCCTTAGTGGAAAATATTAAGAACAACACTGTTGCTATGGCTGACATTCGAACTTCTGTTTTATTACTAGATTTAACTCTGATTATTATGCGAAAATCTATTATAGCCTATAACCTGCGGTTTGGTAGTATATGAGTGTTTTCGAAGTAAATTATTAGAGTGATGCAATGCGCCTGTAGACTTACATTACTGACATTTTATCGCACCGGTATTAATGTCAAATGGGGCTTTAAAGTGTAGATAATGGTAACTGACATTTCACGTTTCCTCGGGAAATGAAATATGATCTCACGGTTCTCACGAAACGAGCCACACTAGCCAAAACGTACGAGCACATTATTTCTGCCATGTGTTGTTCGTTCTGGAAATCACTCGGAATACATTCTGAGCCACACACACTCCTTTGCCCAGCCATTATTTGCACGCCGAACGTTTCAAATGTCAGCCACAGTATTACGTGGCTCAGAGCATTAATTGATGTCAATTTGGAAACTCTGACCGGGAGGTTCTAAAGTTAGTCCCGACGGTAGCAGAATTTTCGACTCCAGCTACTCAGCTAGGTCAAATTCAACCGCTGTCTGGAGGAGAATTCTGGTGGTCGTCTTCTCTAATCAACACTAGGCGAATACCGTAAGAGTACCCTAACAAACGGGCTGCTGACCGCGCGCGATCTTTCCTCCCCATTCCTTGTCCTATCCTCTACCTCTTACTTCTACCTCCCCCATATACACATTTACACTTACATGCCCTACACATCTAGTGAAATCAGATGGGAGCTTAGCCTTTGTCTCAGTAATGGCGATGGAGATGCGTGGTTGGGGAAAACGCTGCTGGCCGACGTGTAAGTCGACGCCACATCTTGCCATCCAGCGGGGGATGATCACCGCCATATTCCGCGATAAAATGTACACTACACATTCGTGAGTAACGACCTTAATAGTTGGCGCACCTGGAAACACCAATCAATGAGTCAAATGTGAGCGAATCTTTTGGGACCTTGACCGTTCCGCCCGTCCATCCCGCCTCTTCGCTGGCGTCGCCCTCGGGGGGGTCAGCGACCCTTCGCACGCGCGGCCGTTCCGCGCGTGCGCAGAGCGGGCGGCGCGCGCGACCAACGCGCCCGGACGCGGAAGGACGGTCCGTGCGTTACGCGCCGCGTCCCCTCGCCTTGCGACCTTGCGCTCGCCCCGCCGCCCGCCCACCCCGCCTCGCCTCGCCCCGCCTCGCCCCGCTCCGCTCGCCCCGCCCGCCCCGCCCCGCCCCGCCCGCCCTGCCCGCCCCCCGCCCGCCCCGCTGCTCCCGCTCCGCCTGCCTCGCCCCGCTCCGCCTGCCCCGCTCGCCCCGCCCCGCCTCGCCCCGCTTCCCCTGCCCGCCCCGCTCCGCTCCGCCCGTCGCCCCGCTCCCGCCCACTCCGCCCCGCCCCGCCTCGCTCTGTCCCGCCCCGCTCTGCCCCGCCCTGCCATGGCCCGCCACGCCCCGTCACGTCGTCAGGCGCCACTTCCGTCAAGACTCCCAGCGGCCATGTTGGTTCTCACGGAGCGGCAGCCGGCGCCGGGGACGGTGCCATAACGGTTCCGCCGCTGCGTCCCCTGAGCGTATCGAAAGGGCTGCTGGCTGGCAATATGCGAGTTGAATACCTCGACGCTTCCAGCCGATGGAGTCCCACGGACGTCCAAGACGTGACTGCTGGTCGATGTGTTATTTCGAGGAAACGTACTATCTCTGTGTCTGAAAAGGATTTGCGGGTGCTGTTTCGGAAAATATCCAACTACAGTGCGGATTCTGTTTTTTATTTACGCAGCA